TTTTTTTTTGCATGTCCAACAAAAACTCTTTACTTGCCATGATTTTGGGAAGCACGTTTCATTAGTTACAGGACGAAAAATTGTTGTTAGAGATTCTAATAGGTTCCATTACTTTAAATCTGGAGAGTGTTCTTCTTGGATGTGGTTGGTTAGTTGAAAAGTAGATTTATTGTACGATTGATTTGAACATTGATACGTGTAATGCTGCTTAAAAATTAACAATAGTCTTGTGGTAAAAAATAATATGGGTTTATGATGTGGAGTTTTTGTTGATAATTGATTTCTTGAGATTAAACCTTTCAAAATAGAAATTGTGGTTATCATTCATCTTCGTACATAGAGAAGCATATAGGAAAATAAAGTTAAATTGACCAAAGTACTTTCCAGATATTTCTAAAATCTCAACTCACATCCTTTATCTTCCGATTTTCATTTTTTTTGGAAATTAAAAATTGGTTCCAAATTTCATTTCAAAAAAATAGAAATTCAAAAATCCATTTCGATTTCTGAATGCCTCTAGATTGGTGGAACTTCGAAAATTTCATAAAGTGCATTAATTTATAACTAAATTTAGGAATTTTCACAAAAAAAAGAAATCTTTTTTTTTTAGAATTTTCCAGCAAAATGCAAGAAAATCCAACAGAGAATTCAATAAAACCACATATAAGAACCCAATAAATGCACAAGAGAGCTTGTGATACCGATTAATCTGTTTAAGGACTTTAGTTTACTTGGACCTTGAGTATTTATATTTTTCATATAAAATAGGGTAAAATACAGTTTGCACCCCTGTACTATAAAAATGTCACATTCACCCCCTCTAGTATTAAAAATTACAAACCCCCCTATTTTTGACAGCCAGCCAACAGAAATTTGACGGTATTAAATTTTGCAGGGCAATTACTCTTATACCCTCTCTTTTTGTCTTTTACTTTCTCAAAAATTCTCAGCCACGCCCCCACCAAAATCAAGAAGTGGACACGATTTCCGCCGAATCCGATCCGAAAAATTCCGATTTTGGAAGGATTTTTTCAATTCCGAATTCCGAAATTCCGAATTCCGATTTCCACCCCTACTCATCCCCATCGATCCCCTCCTGTCGAAAGGATACACCATCGCGGCCATCGGTACACCACCACCATCGATCCCCTCCCTTCAATACGTCGTCTCCTCTGCCTCGAACACCGTTGTTGCAAACTTCCGATGCCGTGGCCCTTCTGAGTCACCACAACATCGCCGATTGACCAGGGTGGCTTCTTCTGCAGGGAATCACGACCCTCTCCACAAAATTCATTCGTATAAGGCTTTATCCCTTCACATCGAATCCCCAAATACAAAAAAAATCAGCACTGTTTCACGAAATCCGGTGATGGGTTCTTGTACTACGAGGGGATTAGGTTGGAATTGGTGGTTGTTGTTGGTGGTGTGACGGAATTTGGACACTTGTTATTAGTGGGATGGGATTTCGATGATTTTTAGAAGATGATAGAGAAATTTTGCTGAATTTTTGTACAGTTTGAAGAGCAGTGGGAAGAGATTTTTTTTTTTTTTTCTGAATTCCGATGGTGGGATAGGGCTAGGATACATTTATTTTATTTTTATAATATTTATTGAATTTCTATAATAAAGTATTTTTTTTATAATATTTGTCATTTTATAAATTATTAGAGCATATTTCATTATTTAGCAATTCCTATTATTTTTTTAATAAATTTATAATTTGCAATTTAAAATTTTCAAAATTATAATTATTTCTAAATCAATAATTGAAACTTGACGTTTTACATTTTATAATTGTTTCTATAATTTTATAAATTTTTGGTATCTTTTTTGTTAATTGTATAAAATAGTATATATATATAGCACCCCCCTCTAGTCTGGCGATAAATCGAACCGGTTTATCGGAATACTTTATTTAGATAGCTGAAGCAAAAGGACCTTTATGAAATTTTTTAAACTTTCGAGAAGGACCAAAATGTAATTACTAAAAATCTATTTTTAGGACATTTGAAAACCTTAAGAATTTCGAAATCTTTCTTAGGGTTATTTTAGTCGTCTAATTTTTTCGTTTAAGAATAACTTTCGAAAGGAGGATTTTATTCGAGTGCTACATTATCTGACTATATATTTCTCTTTTGGTTCGAAAAGAATTCAGAGTTTAAACGCATTTGGTGAATAAAGATTATGGGGAAGAATAATAATTACCAGAATAAGCGGACCAATTATATTAAGGTTCAAAATAAGGCCCGTACCAAAATAAGAGTTCATTTCCCCTAACGAGGAAATACTAGAGTTTAAAAGAAACGAAAATACGGAAATTGTTTTTAGTTTACATCACCAAAATATTACTAGCATAATTTATAGATCCCTCGTACGATCACCAAATGCTCCGGGCCAGACTTCGATCCACTACTCGCTCCATTCCGGCGAGGGATTACTACTACTACTACTATCTGCAATCAAAGAAGTACCTATATGAGCTATTAAGCCCAATAAGAAATCCGAATGAATAACAAGGATTTAAAATATACGTATTTATATACATATATACACACAGGCATCACATCTTACCGTTCGTCGGCAAACGAACACACATAAAGACTTAATTTCATTTAAGCACGTAAATTGACTCAAATACCGAAATTTACCAATTTACCCTTTCGTGCGAATGCATGAATAAAAATATTTTATGTTGTTCGGATCCGTGAAAAATTAACTTCTTTACTTGGATGATAAGCATATTATTTTGAGCCCGTTCTTTTGGTGGAATCAAACCACCCCTTTTCTATAGTAACTATGGTTGGAATCAGGGGCGAGTCCACCCAAGGGCTAGGGTGGACTCAAGCCCCCCCTCACTTCCCAAATTTTTAATATATATATATATATATATATATATATATATATATATATATATATATATATATATATATATATATATATATATATATATATATATATTTTATTTAATTTTTTAGTCTATTTAATTATATCATTTAAGCTCACTTATTTTTAGTCCACTTACTCAAAGCCCCCTATCACCCCATGTATGACTTGCTCTCATTTTCTATATCTCAAGTTCATTACGTTTCTTGAAAAAAAAAAAAAAATTGTTCTCTCTCACAGTCACACTAATAGCCGTTAAATTGCCATCCACCGACGATCGTTTTAGCATTTGACAACTTCTCTGTGTCAATTTGATAATCGACTTAATATTCATGTTTCTTAAATTTTCATAGCAATTTAGCTTTCGCGATTCGTTTTGGGATTATCTTCTGAAAGTGAAGGAAAAAAAATTCATATCGAATTTTCATCTCAAATTTCTTTCGTAGCAAACTTTCTGGCCTCGCCCCCGAACCCCCGTGTGTTTAAGCCCCCCCTCACCAAACTTTCTGGCCTCGCCACTGGTTGGAATACCGGCCCCCAGTATCCCGACTTATCCAAGCCAAGCATTCCATTAACCTTTCCTTCCGTAAAAATGAAATCTCTTTTTATGCATGACCATGAGACTAATAAGACTCTAACATGAAAATGACCATTTACGACATCACAAATATTAATCAAAGAATCTACGAACACAAGGAAATTATTCACATGAATATACATATATACACGACAATCACACACATGTTATACACACACATATACATAAACACCTAAGCATAGCACATAATTCACAAAATCATTATAACATCATATTATATTTACATCATAAATCACACACACACACTACAGTACATACACGGCACACACACATATACACACAAACATGCAGCCCCAAAACATAGTTAAAAGAACATTTAATCACTAAACCATGCACATAAAGTACCAACATCTTTATCCTTTCATTAATGAGATTTCTCCCACTTTTATTCATTAATTGTTGCCAAAAATTATTACTGCCCCTTAACATAGATCAGCTGTAGAGTTTTAAGCCATAAATTCATATTCTCACAATTAATATGTTAAGAATCTCAAAGCACAATGATTAAAGCACAAAAGTTCCATTTATGACACATGCACAACAAATATTTCGAAATAATAGTAAATGACCTCTAAAAATTCTCAAATTTAATTATAGGACTCCTAACTGACTACATATCTTGACGCAAACAGACTTTGTAGTTTTATCAAAAATAGAATTTATGAAAATTAAAATACTAAGCAAGTGGTGTTTAAACCAAAAGTGATTTTCCAACAAATACTAATTCCAATCTATGACAGAATAACAAATAAACAAAATTCCACGTACACTAGGCCAAAACACAACACTGGCGACGAAATATTGCGACGAAAAAAGGGGCATTAGCGACGAAAATTGAACACTTGCGACGAAAAAAAAACGTCGCAAATGCTTCAAAAAAAAGTCGCCAAACGGCCCGTCGCAAAGTGTGCGACGAAATTTATTTTCGTCGCAGAAAGTTGCGACACTTTCATGTTTCGTCGCAAAAAATCGTTTCTGCCAATTTATTTTTTTGAGCTTCGAAATTTGACAATCGTCGCAAATCTCCTAGTCATCCTGCGACGTTTGCGCAAAAAACGTCGCAATTGTTTTGTACAAATCTGCGACGAAAATAGTATTCGTCGCAAGAATTTATCCACTTATTTGAAACGTTTTTACAAAAACGTCGCTAGAATTTTTTTCTTTGGCACTGCATATTAAATGATAAATTAACCTGTAATAGATTTCCAGTTCTTTATCTTCACAATAATTAATTACCAATTCTAATAATTCGAAATTAACTATAATCCGAAATTAAGTATTGGGTCAAATAACACATCACATTAAAATTTATTCCATCACATTAAAATCAAAATAGTATGTGAAATACACTAACACTAGAACAAATTTGAAAGTACATTAAAACTTAAAAAATATTTTAGCATAGCAAAAAAAGATTTGATCCATACTTTCTTCATTGTTCATTAGAAGTGGTTTGATATGGTGAAATGCTTGACTTTGTCGTTTCAAATGCTCGATCAAGGAGTTGAATGTTTTGCTGAAGTTATCCAATTGATCCTTAATTGCTCTTTCCATCCGTGCCTGAAAAAAATGTATACGTACATAAGCGTGACATAAATACAAATAAGCACAAGCTAAACAAAAAATATAGCACTATAACGACTAAAGCATGAAGACACAAAAAGTGTTTATGCCAATACAAAACACCCAACGTAACCGATCTTGCAACATATAAAACAAAAGTTTCAACATATAAGTATATACCGAAAAAAATTTCTCAAGACTACGCAATATATACCAAACACTTTATACAATATATACCAAACATCATAAGGTGGCGCAATATAACAAAGAATATATCTCAAATACCACGGACTCAACCTGCATAACTATATAAGATGTCGGAAAAGATGTGCAGTTGCATAAGTTTTATTTGGACAAAATCCATAATCTTCGCCGACTTCACGTCTACGATTATTCACCAGCTAAATCTGGATAGTACATGGACAGTGAACTTAATTGATCTTTTTTTTTATGAATTAATATAACAGATTTATATTTTACACAATGTCATAACTCATAACTGTTGACATTATTCATTTTACGAGATTAAAAGTTCATGCTACGGAACTCAATACTCACCTGTTTTCCTCTGTCTTGCCCCTTTCGATGTGAATCCGGGATTCAAACTGCAGATTCATTCTTTAATTTTCGAAATTTGCAGGAAATAAAACGAGAAAAAGAAGAACATTTGAACTTGTTTGCCAGCCGTGTTTGTACCATCTTCAATTGCATTCTGACGTAGTTTCATTTCATGCATACTCGTTGTATCATAGTTGTCCTTGTATCTGAAATAAAATGACAAACCACAATGTTGTAATTAAATCGCAGATACAAGAAAGTAGTAACAGAAAGTGCGAACGTGTATCTTAGATTGGCAACTGTGAAATTTGACATCACAAACGTTAAGATGAAATCGAAATCATTACTTAAAAACCAGCTTCCATAAACTGGATTCAATAAATGGTCTCCATTAACCAAATTTTTATGTATATGTTACTTTTTAATTTCCAGTATTTTCCAGATTTCTTGCCCTAGAAACCAAATACAGTAGAACCTCGATAAATAAATAATAACCTCCCGACTCGGTAAAAACCTACTAAATTATAAGCTCGATAATTTGATATTTCACTCAATTAATAGAATTTTGCTAGTCCCAACTGTAGTAATCTATAGAGGTTTAACTGCAATACCACAATTTGCAACTTGACAAGCTGTGGTAAGCAATCTTCAAATACATTGTTCATTCAGACAATTTGTCATCATTGTCTCTTCGTCTGCAAAAAAAAAATGATTTTGCTAACATAAGAGGATATGTTTTCTCCATGAAAAAAAAACAAAATTGACTTGATCTTTAAAATACATCTGCCATAACAACCAATTCCCTGCTTCATCCACAATTTGATACATTCCGGCTCTTTCTATGCTACAAAATGCAGCTTCTAATTGATTTCTCACAAACTGCCAAAATAAACCCATTTCATTTATGGAACATATTTAACTAGAAAAATATTAAATAATTAACATCCTACTATAATGAAATAACTAACGTAAAAGTTATTTTCATAAACATCATATATGTCCATATGAATTGAGAAGTTCATTTTAAACAGACATTAATGTTCTTATTTACATTTTTATATTACTTCAACTGTATATTTTACTTAAATCTCTACTACTAAGCTATAAATAAAAACCATGAAAAAGTAATCACTCCAAGGTATTGGTTCATACTCCAGTGGCTATCTTATCAAAGCTTAAAACACAAAATAATCAAATTCCCACCAAATTAGTCATTTCTATGAGTGTACTGTATATTATCAAAGTATATATATCAGTACCCTATGAGTGAAAAAGCTCAATTTCAGATTTAATGGACCTACAAACCAATTATATATTCAGGAACTCATTACCTAGTTAAGGGAATCAGAGGGAGGAGAGCATTCACGGAGAGATAGTTCCGCGGGGAAAAGAACAAAGGGGCGATGGCTATGTCCAGGGAGAAGACAATCGAGGCGACGACAACCTGATATAATCATGGCGGCGAATCGTGGAGCCGAAGGGATGGCGAATCATGGCGGCAAAGCAACGGCGGCGAAGGGGCGACGAACCGTGGAGGCGAAGGGGCGGCGAACCGTGGAGGCGAAGGGACGGCGAATCGTAGGGGCGAAGTGCACCGGTGAGGTGTGGGGGCGAAGTGCGGCGGCAGAGAGAAAATCAATGAGGGAGAGAAGAGCAGGGAGGTAAAATTAGGGCTTTGCTTAGTTTAATAGTACTTGAGAATAAAAATACATTTAACTATCGCGACGAATTCATTAACTAATCGTCGCAATAGAGAACCTATTAAATTTTGTCAAACTCCTGTGCGACTATTTTGCAAAGATTCATCGCATTAATTTGTTATATTTTATAAACCAAAGCATATTGCGACGAAAACTACCTATTCGTCGCAAATGTAAACTTTTATTAAATAAATATTATTAGAATAATGCGACGAATCATTTATAATCGTCGTAGAACGAGAGGAAATTTATTTTTTCACCAAATTTCGCGACGATTACTACATAATCGTCGCAAAGATTAACAAAAAAAATTATTTTAAAAAAACATTTTACATGTTTGCTACGAAAATCATAATTTGGTCGCAAGCATTTTCTTTTTAAGGGGAGGTTATTTGTGTTGCGACGAATGGTGGCAATAATCGTCGCGAGCTGGAGACGAAATCAATTTTCGTCGCTAGAAAATCGTCGCGAAAATGCAGTTTTGGCCTAGTGGTACTACCTACTGAAATTTGAAGATTCAAACACTCTTCAAGCTGAAATTTCAAGAAGTTGCAGATTAGCCCTTAGGATTGATCATAAATCCACACATGCAACCCCAAAAATCTTAAAAACTCATTTTCTTTTGCCAAAATTCCCATAAATGCGAAATATTTAATCTCTAACCACAAAATACTTAGACTCACAGATTATAGTATGGATTAGACATGCAAGAACACAAATTTCAAGATTAGCACAAGATTTCGGATTTTACACAAAAAGCCCTAATTTTTGAAAAGTGAAGAAATATTTTAGATAATTTTGAAAACTCTTTTCCATACTATGATACTCTTTAAATGCAGCAAGGAATTCGAGATTTCATACCTAATAAAAGAGTGTTGGCCGAAAGAGAACCTTCAAAAGAAAAGAAGGTTTTTTGAGGAAGAAAAGAAGGAGGAAGAGAAGGGAGAAATGAAGATTCTCTAAGTACAAATGTTACCTCCTTCAAGAGGTTGCTCCAAATTCGGACCAAGGTAGTTGAATGGAGAAGGTGATAGCTTTGATATCATGTTGGGAGGAGTTTTGATCTCGCGTAAGAGGGCAAGTATTTTTATGGTGTTTTTGGTATACTCAAGGGTGTTTTTATGGAGTCTTGAATTTCTCTATTTGTTTCTTGGAGGAGAATGAGGTGGTGGCCGATGGAGGTGGTGGTGCTTCGGTGGTGGTGGTGAAGGAGAGACAAGTGTGGAGTGAGGTGGAGAGAGAAGATGATAGGAGAGTGTCATTTGATATTACTTAGCATGCTTGAGTGTAGGATTAGTGTAAATCCTCACTCTTTGCCAACTGTACAAGCATGCATCTTTTCCTAATTTATTTTCTAATTAATAAAATTATTAACTCATTCCCACACACACACACAAAAACACATATATATATATATATATATATATATATATATATATATATATCACCTATGTAGTCTAGTATGTATAGGCATATAGCTATATATGTATATACACGTGTATATATATGTGCATGTAGTATGCATGCATGTATTATATTATGCATAGATATTATAAGGCACTTAGGAAATTTTAGCATTTAATTATAATATCATAAAATTAATTAACTTAAGCACACAATTATAAAAATAAAGTTTGGCACATAATATTCCACAATAAAATAAATTTCTAGCACATAGAGCACATAATTATATAATCTAATCGGCATATAGCAATTATAAATTAATCTAGGCAAATAAGGCACATAAAGCAATTAAGTTAGTAATGTAGATAAATTCCTAATAATTCTTACGTAAGGATTTTCGGTTTATGGGATTTCGGTTAGGGATTAGGGTTTCGAAAAGGTGGGGTGTTACAATCTTCCCCCCTTAAAATAATTTTGTCCCCAAAATTGTTACCTGACCTGAATAATGCCGGAAAGTGTTTACGCAATTTTTCCTCTCGTTCCCACGTGGCTTCTTCTAGTGTATGATTATGCCATAAGACTTTAACTAGACGAATGTTTCGGTTACGTTGAGTCTTGGTTTTGTATTGTAGGATTTGGGAGGGTTTTTCTTCGTAGGTTAGGTTGGGGGATAATTCAATAGGTCCGGGTTTTAGAACGTGATCTGAGCTATGAATATATTTACCAAGCATGGATACGTGGAACACATTGTGGAAATTGGACAGGTTAGGCGGTAAGGCTGGACGATAGGCTCGGGTGACGATTTTCTCGAGAATCTCAAATGGTCCGATAAAACGAGGTGCTAACTTTCCCCTTTTTCCGAATCGCATTATTCCTTTGAAAGGAGCCACTTTAAGGAATACATAGTCTCCAACTTTGAATTCTAAATCTCTTCTCCGAGAATTGGCGTAACTTTGTTGACGATCTTGGGTGATACGCATTTTTCTCGAATATTCTGAATTATTTCGACGGGTTGTTGGACTAGTTCTGGGTCGAGGAATTTTCTTTCTCCAACTTCGTCCCAATGGAGTGGGGATCGACACTTGCAACTGTAGAGGGCTTTGTATGGTGCCATTCCGATAGATGATTGGAATCTATTGTTGTAAGCGAATTCAATTAGTGGAAGTCGTGATTCCCAATTTCCTCCGAAATCGAGAATACAAGTGCGTAGTAGATCTTCTAGGGTTTTGATGGTTCCCTTGGATTGACCGTCGGTTTGTGGGTGAAAAAGGGTACCAAAATTGAGGCGAGTTCCGAGGGTTCCATGTAAGATTTTCCAGAATTTAGATGTGAATCGAAGGTCTCGGTCGGAAATGATAGTGACTGGAACACCGTGGAGTCGGACAATTTCTTGGACATATAGCTCCGCTAGTTTCTCTAGGCTAAAGGTCATTCGGACTGGAAGAAAATGAGCGGACTTGGTTAATCGGTCGATAATTACCCAAATGGCGTCGATCCTTTTTGGGTCTTTGGAAACCCTTGAACGAAATCCATTGTGACAGCTTCCCATTTCCATTATGGAATTAGATTGGACTGCAGCAGACCTCCGGGTCCTTGGTGTTCCACTTTGACCTGCTGGCATACTAGACATTCGGCGACGAATTGGGCAATTTCTCTTTTCATTCCGGGCCACCAGTAGAGTTTCTTCAGATCTTGGTACATCTTAGATGCTCGTGGATGGAAAGTGTACACGGTTTGATGGGCTTCGGTTAGGATTAGTCGGTGAATCTTGGAGTCATTAGGTACATAGATGCGACTTTGGAATCGGACAATTCCTTGCTCGGAGATTTGGAAGTTCGGATTGGGTTCGAGGTTGTCGCGAATTTTGAGGATTTTGGGATCGGTTTGTTGAGCGGCCTTGATTGCTTCTATCAGGTTTGGCAACGAGGGCGTTGATTGACTTTTGGCTAAGAGCGTCTGCCACTGCATTTGCTTTACCAGGGTGATAGAGTATTTCGCAGTCGTAGTCCTTGACTAGTTCGAGCCATCTTCTTTGCCTCATATTTAATTCCTTTTGAGTGAAGAAGTACTTAAGACTCTTATGATCGGTGTAGATGGTGCAGTTCTCGTCGTAAAGGTAGTGTCGCCAGATTTTGAGTGCGAAGACGACGACGACTAGTTCGAGATCATGGGTCGGGTAGTTTCATTCGTACTCCTTGAGTTGTCGAGAGGCGTAGGCTATAACCTTTCCGTTCTGCATGAGTACGGCTCCTAACCTTAGCTTCGAGGCGTCGCTGTAAACTATGAATTCTCCAATTCTCTCGGGTAGTGCCAAAATTGGGACAAAAATGAGTCGATTCTTGAGTTCGGTGAAGCTAGCGTCGCATTCTGGGGTCCATTGGTATTTGACGTCTTTTCGAGTGAGTCGAGTGAGTGGCGAGGCGAGTTTCGAGAAATCTTGTACGAATTTGTGGTAGTAACCGGCCTGACCGAGGAAACTCCTTATCTCATTTGCATTCTTCGGAATTGACAAGTTGCAAATTGCTTCTATTTTGCTGGGATCGACGGAGATTCCACTTGCTGAGACAATGTGGCCAAGAAAAGAGACACTTGATAGCCAGAACTCACATTTGCTGAATTTGGCGTATAGCTGATGGTATCGAAGGGCTTGGAGAACGGTGCGGAGATGAGAGGAATGTTCTTCTTCATTCTTGGAGTAAATGAGACTATCATCAATGAAGACGATCACAAATTGGTCTAGATACGGATGAAAAACTCGGTTCATGAGATCCATAAATGCGGCGGGGGCATTAGTCCAAAAGGCATGACAATGAATTCGTAGTAAACATATCTCGTCCGGAAAGCGGTTTTCGGAATGTCGGATTCTTTGACTTTGAGTTGATGGTATCCGGATCGAAGATCAATCTTGGAAAAGATGGAAGAACCTTGGAGTTGGTCGAACAAATCATCAATTCGGGGAAGAGGGTACTTATTCTTGATAGTGATTTTATTGAGCTCTTCTTCTTGACAAACAACACTGGGGCTCCCCATGGTGAGTGACTAGGTCGAACGTAACCTTTGTGGAGCAGCTCTTGGATCTGATCTTTCAACTCTTTCAATTCAAGTGGGGCCATGCGATATGGGGCTTTAGAAATTGGTGCGATTCTGGGAATTAGATCGATTTCGAACTCAATTTTTCGGTCAGGTGGAAGTCCGGGAATGTTGTCGGGAAACACGTCAAGAAATTCTTGTACTGTTCGGACATCGGACAATTGAGGTTTGGTGTCAGATTCGGAATTCACGACATCTACTAGATAGCCGAAATGTCCTTTGTGAATGAGTTTGATGACTTTTATGGCTGAGATAATTGGAATCGAGGTTTTGGTTTGGCTTTGGAATTTTAGGCTTTGGCCGTTTGTAAGAGGAAAAATGACTGTTTTCGGGGAACAGTCAATTTGGGCCTTAAATTCGCTTAACCAATCCATTCCTAG